AGACAGACAGACAGACAGACAGACAGACAGACAGACAGACAGACAGACAATCTACTTTGAAGGAATGCCATTCTATCCATTACTGTATAATTGACCTGAATGTTGAAATAACTTTACAAAAACGCAATGGTTTTTTTTAAAAAAAATATGTTTGGATATTTCCAGATAGCAGTCAAAATAGTCTGTGTCAGCTTTGGAAGCCATATTAGCCCCGGAAGCTTCCACGCTGTCACCTTCTCATGTGTGGGACAGTAGGAGGGGGGATTTAGTAGAGAAAATGTATTTAGACAAAATAGCATTCTTCCTTTCAGTCAAGGTCAAGAGTGGTTGGAGTGATGTCTCGAGATGGGACAGATGCTGATTGGAGCATGTGATGGATTGATGAGTGAGGGGATAGTTTTGGGGATTTTGATTTACTGAGATAAAACCCGGAACTCTCAGATTCGGGTTTTCCCAGATGTGCCATTATACCTACTTCAATAAATGGAACTTTGAGAAAATGCTTGCTTCGGAGTTTTTAATTGGAGTTGTGGTTTTCTGGAATGCTGACAGTCTGCAAATTGTCTTTCATATTCACCACAAAAGCCAGAAGCAACTTCTTATGATGGACTATATTTCAACCAACTTTAAAAGAGGCAACCTCTCCCCAATTTATATTTGTTGCACTAAGTATATCACCTGATTACTTTTCAAAATGTTTCATTAGCTAAACTTACCTGCCATGGTGACTGAAGAAAAAGCTTCCATCTCCTTTCATTAATTCTTTGCCCGTATTTGAACTGGGAGGAATACAATTGCCTCAGAGCGTTTGCCATAGCATAGACTGCATTGTAGATGCTGTAGCTGTGGCTGCTCATGCTCATTTCAAATATAGATTGAGAAAGAGACTCCAGCTTCTCTTCCCCAGTGCAGGTCCTGTCAGCTTTCCCATCTCTAAAACCAGTGGAGAAGGAACATTCAAATGCATCTTTCCAAAAATCTCTAATAAAGCCATCTTCATTTTCTAATGTTGGGTTTCTCTTCTGCACAAATTCTCTGAACCCCCTCAGTTCCTTTGAGTGAATTGCAAAGGAAAGAGCACCATGGAGAAAATCAATGGGCAATTCTCTTTGCATTAGAATGGAGGTGAATTCCATCTCAGCTGTCATGATCCAGACTTTGGCTTTTCTCTCCTTGGGAATATCCTCAGAATCTAAAGCATAGATCATTAGTCTCAAAGTCATCAGGCCTGTAATTTCAGCATTCAAGATCACTGCAATGACTGTACTCCCCATGATCACTTTGTATAATTTATCTGCTTCCTCCACCATTTCAGCAGCTAAATTGCCATACATCATTTGGGGGATACTTTCTATAAAGTCAAAGCAGATTCCTCTCACTGTAAACATGGAAAGGCTATCCTGAATGAATCTCTCTTTATCTTCCTCAACAAAGCAAACTTTCCCAACCCAGGTCCATCCAAAATGCAGCAGTAAATGTAGTATTCCATTAAACTGGTGTACCTCAACGGGGAACATCCATTTGACAAATAGTGCTGCTGTTTCATCATTCATCAATGGAGCTGATCCATATGTGATCTAAATGGGAGTAAGAAAGCAATAAAAGCTAAAAAGGAATTGTTCTAAAGAACATTGTGCAGTGCTCATGTTTAATCAAAATTTCTGTGCTTGAGTGCAATACAGAAAAGAAAACAATGCTACAGTTTTAGCACACAGTTTTAGAGCTTAACATAAGGGCTAGTCATTGAGCAAAACAGTGTAACAATTTTGACGATTCCCTTTTCATAAATTTGACCCCTTCTTGTGTCAAATGTTTCAGGCTTCTGGGATCTTTGTAAAGAGAGTTATCATGAAGATCTGATACCTGAAGTCATTCAAGAGCAAAGGAACTTAACATCTTGCTCCATATTTATGTCTCACCTGCGGAAATTTGTAGTTACACAGACTGGTTGCCATGTTGAGACATGTCCTAGAACGGGGTCCTCCAATGACAGCTACCGTGTGGGTCTGGTCATTACATTTGTAGTTGGGGATAAATTGATCTTTTGTAGATAGAAATTCCATTGCTAATTGATAAGTTGTAATTTCCTCAAGATTATCAGTAGCAATGTGGAAACCAAGGGTAATGTTGGGTAAAATTCCAGCATGTTCATTGATCTCATTAACAGCAAATGCCAGAGCCAAAGTGTGTTGGTAATTATGAGTGAGGTACCTTCAGTGAGAGTTATAAACTATGTCAATACATTTCTGCTTCAGAATCACATTTTAATTGTTATATACATTCATAAACATCCAAAATGTTGTGGTTATTATTTGCTCTTGATATATGTAATGTGGTCTTTAGCTAACAATAGCCCCAGGTTGTATTGATTGGGAAGCACTAATATTGGGAACGAGTAGCTAAGATTGAACTGAGACAACATTTGTATGCTTATTTCTTTTCTTCTTAAAAATGTTCTTCTAGAAGACAGTCAATTTGAGCCAGTTTGTTTTAGGGTAAAATGCGGGAGACTATGAATTCAAGTCTCGCCTTCTGGGTGACTTCAGCCAGTCATTCTCTTTCAGCCCAACTCACCTCACAGAGTTGTTGTTATTGGGAAAATAAAGGAGAAAGGTGAGTTGGATGTGTTTTTCCCCTTGAATGATTTGCATAAATAATAAAGGTGGGATAAAAATAAAAAAATAAATAGATGAATAAAAAAGCCATGGTGCATTCTTTTCCCATTTATGATGGCAGTATTAGTGGAGGCTAAGTGTCTTTTAATCCTAGAATTTATACATGACTGAGGATAATTTCAATGGGCTATATGGTGAGCATTTTAATTTGAGCAGAAAGGTAAAGAGGAAGAAAAAAATTACAACTTTTAGGTGGGGATGGGGATGAGGGTGAGAGTAAAATACTACTCATATACTTTTAAAATACTTACAGGTATTGATCAAGCACATCGTGAGAAGGAACCCTTTGAAAAATGATCTGATTTGAAAGAAAGAAGACCTGATATATAATAGCAGCAACAATTACATCTCCAGACTGATAGTACTTGTGAGAAATTGGAAGAGGACCTCTGAGATTGCAGTTGTGAACAAGAGAACTGCACATCAACTTAGGAAAAAAGAATAAAATCAGTGTTGTGAACAGAAGCAACTCAGTATAAAATATGGCCATTGTAGATATCAAAGTATAGCTTGAATGTTACTATTCAAATAATGATCTGGGTCATAATCGATCAGCCTTTCAGGAATATTATCTAAAATGAAGTAACACAGATTAAACATGCTTCTTTTTTGTTCTCTCTATTTGTAAACCTGTACTTCTGTGTCTGTATTAATGTAATGCAGTTTTTTAACCTGGGCTCATAGGTTTTTTTTTTCTTCCATGTTTACCGGGATTCCCTTGAGATAGGGAGAAAAGAACAATGATGGTACTTTATTTAATAATTACTTAGAAGGTAATAGCTTACTTGCAATAGTATTTTATTTTATTTTTTGCTTCTGTGCAAAATATCAACATGAAACATATTGATTGAGAAAATGGGAGCAACATCAGAGGTGGGTTCCAGCAGGTTCTGATCAGTTCTGGAGAACAGTAGCAGAAATTTTGAGTAGTTCAGATAACCGGTAAATACCACCTCTGATTGGCCCTGCCCCCATTATTTTCTGCCTCCCAAATCCCAGCTGATCGGGAGGCAATGGGGATTTTGCAGTAACCTTCCCCTGGATTGGGGAGGGAATGGAGATTTTACAGTATCCTTCCCCTGCCACGCCAACCAAGCCATACCCACAGAACCGGCAGTAAAAAATTTTGAAACCCACCACTGAGCAACACCATATGCACCAAAGAAAAAACTGTTGGGTCTTTTTTTTTCTAAAGATGGTGCCATTTTGGGCAGATACATATCTATAATCAGATTCCAAACTTTATTGATTTAAAACACAATTTTAAAAGAACTGAAGTTCATGGGTTACAATCAAGTTGTCAATCTTCTGCTTAAAAAATTTCTGTTATGAAAAGTAGCAGTTTAAGTGATAACTGATTGAGAGCAAAGATGGTTTGATAGAGGGAAATAATGTTGGAATGTTCCATAAGGCAGGGATCCATGCAGAGTCGGTTCATCCCATTGAATCTGCCAAATATAGTTCAAACTGAGCCTTTCTAGTGAGTCTGATGGGGCTTAGGCCCACTTAAAGGAACAAGTCTATTATCTATCTATCTACCCTGGTTCCCCAAAAATATCCCAAAAATAAGCCATAGCATGTTTTTACATGTGTGCCTAATAAAAGCCCTACCCCCAAAATAAGCCCTACTTAATAACCTACGCAGCCAGCCACCTGCCCGCCCATTTTGCTCGTGGTGCCATGAACATGAAGTGAGGCAGGGTGGTGGTGGAGCTGTCCCACATGCCCTGGACTGGCTTACCTCAGGGCCCACAGCCAGGCCATCCACGCCCTGACACCTGTCAGCAGCAGCAGTAGCCCATGTGGCCGCCAGCCAACTTCTGCTTGCTCATGGCTGCAACAAAACAGGAGGCTGAACAGAGATGGTTCCATGGCCACCAGGTGAGGCAGGTGTCAGGTTGTGGGTGGACTGGCTTCAGGGTCTATGAGGTAAGCCAGTACAGGGTGTGTGGGGCAGCTCCACTCCCTCACTTCATGGCAGTGGCACTGGTGTGCTGCACGAACTCCTGCCTCCCTGCGAGCAAGCAAAAGTGGGCCTCCTGTACATGGGGGAGAAAAAAAGACACCCCTGAAAATAAGCCCTAGTCCTTTTTGGGGGGCCCAAAAGAAAAACATATCTATCTATCTATCTATCTATCTATCTATCTATCTATCTATCTATCTATCCATCCATCCATCATCCATCCATTATCTATCTATCTATCTATCTATCTATCTATCTATCTATCTATCTATCTATTTATCTATCTATCTATCTATCTATCTATCTATCCATCCATCCATCCATCCATCCATCCATCCATCCATCCATCCATCCATCTATCTATCTATCTATCTATCTATCTATCTATCTATCTATCTACAGTATCTATCTACCAGTTTGACATTTGATCTAAAATAATTGTCTAACATTTCAAACAAAAGATGAAGAGCACCTTTCTAAATTCTGATGTGAATTTGGAAGATATCACATTCTTCTCCATTGTATGTCACCTTGATGTACAGATATTATTAAAGTATGTACAACTACAAAGTGCAGGAAACTAAATGGTAAAAGAACCCAATTCTGCTTCATTGAAGGGTCTGTTATAAAAAGTATTTTATCTCTTTATTAGTTGCTCTTTCCTGTTCAAATCAGGTCTCAGAATAATGATATAGCATTTTGGGGAAAAGATACAGCCTAGTAATCCAGCTGCTGAAGCCAAAATGGAGAAGATCTCTACAGCCACCATGTACTTTCCCTTGGTGCTGAGATATGTTGGAACAAATGACACCCAAACGCTGCAAAAGACCAACATGCTGAAGGTGATAAATTTGGCTTCATTGAACCTGTCTGGTAAATTCCGAGCTAGGAAGGCCACCATGAGGCTGACAGCATTCAAGAACCCCATAAAGCCAAGCACAGTATAAAACATTTTGGTTGAACCTTCATTACATTGCAGGAGAATTTCTTCAGCCATGGAGTACATGTCAGAATCTGGGAATGGGGGAAAAATTGCTAACCACACTACACAAATGGTGAATTGGACCAGGAAGCAAGGTAGGACAATAGAGATAGCCATTCTTTTCCCTACCCATTTCCTCATTTTAGAGCCTGGCTTGGTGGCCATGAAAGCAAGAACAACAATGGTTGTTTTTCCCAAAATACAAGAAAGAGCTACAGAGAAAATGATGCCAAAAGAAGTTTGTCGCAAGAGACATTTCACTTGATCAGGTTGTCCAATGAAAAGAAAAGTGCAAAGGAAGGAGAGCAGGAGAGCAGTGAGAAGAATGTAGGTGAGGTTTCTGTTGTTGGCTTTGACAATGGGAGTATCCTGGTGTTTAATAAAGATCCCCAATACTAAAGCTGAGATGAAAGATAAGGAGACTGCTATGACCAGCAAAGAAATCCCCAAAGGCTCTTGATAAGTCAAGTAAGTTATTGTTTTTTGAAGACAACTATCTCGATCTTTGTTTGGATAATGATCTTCTGGACATGGAACACAATCATCTAAATCTGTGGAAAAAAAGAAAGAAAGAAAAAGGAAAGCTATTTAAAGAAATGGTATAGTTTTTTAAAAAAATCAATTATTAATTACACACTAGATCCACTAAGGTTCTGTGACTTACAAAAGGATTCTATTTCCTCCTTTTTCATAAAATAATTCAGGATACAATTTACATACAATGTGCTACTGTGGAATACTAGCTGCAATCTGAGCTTGGTTGTTTGCTATATATAGATAAACCTCTCATTCAACAGTGACAAGAATAATATTGATGATAAACCTAAGAGGGAAACAAAAAGACAGAATATATTCTCTGAAACAGCCAACACCCATATAAGCATGGATTAAAACTATCTGTCAGCCTCCTCTGGAACCGCCTGTGCTTCGCCAGACAAACACCACACACGCACGCTCAGAAGGTGAGGCTATCCAGTTTAATCGTAGCTTATACGGTGGTCATACAGTAAGCGCTGAAGTTCTTCGATGAGAAATAAAGTCGGAGGCAGCCGTTTCCGCCATTTATCCAGCTTTATAGAATGCTATTCAAGCGCCCCACCTTTGCTCTATTACAGATTTAAAGTAACCGCGCTACCTATCCCATTCTGGTTAATTGTGGGTCGTCATTTACTTCCGGGTTTTCACTGTCTTCTTTCATCACCGGGATCTGCTTCATGCTAATGGCGAGATATCTATCGCCCCCCCCGTTCCCCTATACCATCCACCACCTAATATCACCATGCCATCCTAATTGCTACAACACCCCCCTTCACCGTGTCTTGTTCTTCTGGTCCTTCGTGCTCTGGATCTGCACAGTTGCTCATGTCCAGGTGGTTCATATTCCCCAGGATCTTGTGTCGAGGGGTTGTCTGACACTCGACACTAACACATAATCAGGAAGAAAAATATGCTAATCGAGGAAGTACCAAGGAGAAAATCATACATCCATGAAATGTAGTAGGGAAAATACAGTATACAGACAAGGAGAAATCCAGGGGTGGGATTCTACTGGTTCGGACTGGTTTGGGTGAAAACCGGTCTGTACATGTATGCAATCACTGAACCAGTTGTTAAACCAGCAGGATCCCACCACTGGAGAAATCCCAACATTTGCTCAAGAAGCTACTTATTCAGCCATGAAATATCTGCAAACAAAACAACCAAACTAAGAGAGCAGCAAGGACTCCACGCTTGAAACCTGAGACATCTATATTCTCTTCCATTTTGCTACAGCATTTCAAATTGGCCCCCCTGGTTTTTTACAGCATTCTCTAGCTTTCGAGACATCCCATGTAGATTGTTGGAATGTCCTTTACATGAATGCCATTGGAAAACAGTAATTGGTTCACAGTGCAGCCGCATATGCAGGTCTGGTTGTTTCATGGCACACCTGAGTTTTGCTACTGCTCCATGAGCTATTCTGGGTTTCTAGTTGCTTTGCAATGCAATTCAAGTTTCTGGTTCTGCCTTTAAAAGCTTGCTTCTCACTGGACCAAGTTATAGGCAGAACCCAAGGCTCTGTCTTAGGCCCAGTACTCTTCAATATTTTCATTGATGATTTGGATGAGGAGATAGAAGGGGAACTCATCAAATTTGCAGATGATACCAAAATGGCATGAATAGCCACTACCCCAGAAGATAGGTTCAAGATACAAGAAGGATCTTGACAGACTTGAATACTAGGTCCTATTTAACAAAATGAAATTCAATGGTTAAAAAAAAACAAAAAAAAACAACAAGGTTGACATTATAGTAGTGTTTCAATATCTAAGGGGCTGCCACAAAGAAGAGAGGATCAACCTATTTTCCAAAGCACCTGAAGGCAGGATAAGATGCAATGGACGGAAACTAATCAAGGAGAGAACCAGCTAGAACTACGGAGAAATTTCCTGGCAGTTAGAATGATTAATCTGGAACAGTTTGCCTCCAGAAGTTCTGAATGGTCCAACACTGAAGTTTTTAAGAAGAGGTTGGACAACCATTTGTCAGAAATGGCGTAGGGTTTCCTGCCTGAGCAGGAGGTTGGACTAGATGACTTCCAAGATCACTTCCAACTCTGTAATTCTGTCTGTAATTCTGTCTGTTATTCTGTCTGTTATTCCAGACCAGCTCCTTCCAATGTTATCTGCCATCAAATAAGTGACTTTGGAGACACACTTTCTGTGTAGCGGCCCCAACCTTTTGCACTACTTTCTCATTTGAGTTTTGAGGGAAACCTGTACTTTTAGCCTTGCAGTAAAATTGATGGTGGCTTTTCCCCAAGTGTTCATCTAGGATGGCAAGTAGGTCAAAAGGTTGATTGGTCTGGCACTCATGACAAGGCTGGTTTTCTTTTGATTTTTTAAAAATGTTATTTGGGGGGGGGGAGCACCTAGGGCAGTGATGGATAACTTTTTTGCCATCACGCGCCAGGAGGGGGAGGGGGTGGGGGAGTCATGCACACACATGTCCACACCCATAATTCTATGTGCCTCACCCCCGCACATGTGCGTGTGACCCTCCCCGCTCCCCAGCATGTGATGGCCCATAGGCCCATTTTTGTCTCTCACCTGGCTCCAGAGCATTCTCTATGATTCTGGGGAGGGTGAAAATGGCCTTTCCCACCCCACCGGAGGCCCTCCAGAGGCCAGAAATGGCCCGTTTCCCAATTAGCGGTTGGACAGGAAGTGACTTTTTTGCGCCAGCGACTCCTAGAGAGGCCAGGTGAGAGACAAAAATGGGCCTTCCCCATCCCCCCAAGCACTGTTTCCCTACTTCTGTGGGCCCAGAAGGCCCAAAAATCAGCTGGCTGAGCTCGCGTGCCCACTAATATGGCTACGCATGATAGAGGTGGCACGCATGCCATCGGTTCACTATCATGGACCTAGGGTCATTACATGTGATTGACAACTTTATAACTTGATAAGAAAATCGATTCTGGGTGGATTAGGAATTAAAAATAAACAAAAACCAAAGACAATACATTACCATTGTCTTAAATGAAAATATTATTAATTAGAATAGAATAGAATAGAATTTTTTATTGGCCAAGTGTGATTGGATACACAAGGAATTTGTCTTGGTGCATATCCTGTTAGTGTACATAAAAGAAAAGATACAGTCATCAAGAATCATAAGGTACAACACTTAATGATAGCTTTACTTCCAGAGAGAAGGTACAAAAGAAGCATTTTGAATAGTCTATCAAGAAGCTTTGGTTTTCATGAAGGATAATGTGAGGCAAATTATAGATTTATTGGAATATCTTGAGAAGAATAAACAGATCTCTGCAGTGCTGGT